CAGAGAAACAAGAGAAACGAGCAAGAACATTGAATAAAGTTTGATAACTAATAAGGAAGTTATGACAAAACATGTAAGTATGAACAGTGTATGGAACTTAAAAATTCAATACATAAATTGCCAATTTGGTTTCGGGTTCATGACGTCATTGCCTCACCATTTATCAATTATTTCTATTTTAAACCCAATAATTTACCCTTTTCCCCCTAAAACTTGAATTTTCCCCATGCCTTTGCCCAGGTTAAATGATTTGCATCATATTGCATGCATGCCATTTGATACTTTTGATACTATGATCTGAATATTATATATTCATTATCATTGATTTTTGTATAAAACAGTTTATCAAAATTCACATTTATCATAATTAACTTAAAAATCATTATTCTATATTAGTGCATCGCCCCAAAAACATATTATAAAATAAGATTTTAGGGGGAATAGGAAAATCATATCATCAATATAAAGAAAACAGTATATGGACTGTGAAGCAATGACGTCACAGACTCAAAAGTGAGTTGCTAATTTGTCTTATGATTTTCAAAGTTTATAATGTCTTGAAAATTCCTAACTTTCTTATTCGTTATCCGATTTTTTCCTGAATTTTTTTTCATTGTTTTTCTGATTTTTGTGCTTAAGCCTATGGGAATTTGATAATTCAGTAATCAGCGGATTGAGGTAGTCACAATGGCAATGGAACGGCATGGTCCCTGTGTTAAGCCTAAGGGAATAAGATAAGTCAGTAATAAAAGCAGAAAAAATAGAAAAACAGGCTGGCGAAAGTTTGAACGAATTCCGATAAAAATCAGTAAGTTATGACGTTGCATTCAATTAAACACAGATGGGTAGCTCTGTTATGAATCTTGCAAACTCCTCTCCAATTTGCTCTGTGCCAGAAATTTCATAAACTTTAATTTTCTTCGTTATTGATAACGGAATAGATCTTTTAACATTGACAATCTAAATCGTAATCGATGTAGTTATTTCATTTCTTTCTAGAGAACTGGATATCGTTGTCCCAAAGAATTTAAAACCTGTCATTTTTTTATACGAGTGTTGATCATAATTATAACACCCTTGAAATAAGCAGGATATTTTTTTTTTGCTGAAACAATTATATTATACGGAGAACGGTTGCGAGTGTGTTAAAGGTACTATGTCCCATTTGCAGGCCCAAAAAATGAAAAAGTTAAATTCCAACTGCATTTGAAAGATAATACTAATTTAGTACTTCCCTAAAAAAAGGTGGGGCTTGAAAATGTCTTCAAGTGGGAAAATAACGACTATTAGTTGTCAAATCGACTTTTGGGCTATAGAGCCCAAAAGTAATAGTCTTGATTTTCAGACAATTGTACCGAATGGTCATACGTTTTATGCTGCGCAAAGATTCACTCAGTTTAATCTTGGCCATCACAAGAAGTGGGTTATTGATGTAGACAAATGCTCATGTACCCTTTACAACTCTTTTCATGTATGTTATTACCAAAGAAGAAAAAAGCCAGTCAGTCACTCAATAGTGTCTGACAGTGAAGTCTAGCAAGTAAACGGGTTTCCTTGCATAATTTGGATATGAGGACACTGCTAACGTTTAAATTTCACAGATAGGACATATATGACATATTCATAATTCCTGCAAAGTTCTACAGAATTCGATGTTGGCTGCAAAAGGGACATAGTATCTTTAGGGCAGGACAAGTGCACGAAATTTAGTCAGTGCCCATAGTGAACTGATAATGCATGCGCCCGCAAGGCAAGTGCCTTATCGATATCACACTGCCTGAGTGCACTGGAACTGCCCAAACACACGAGCCCAAACAATTGAGCAAAACAGTGCATTATTTGTGTTATGATACGGGTCGGCATTATATTCTTACAATATAGTCTAGATCTAGAGTATAGGTAAACATTAGATCTATATCTATAGGCCTAGAATATTCTAACGTAATATTTCAAGACAGGATGTATGCACAAATTCAATTTGGCTGAATTACGCGAAAGTGATATCGGCAGATATCGAGTATTGGTTATCATGTTTTGATGGGAGATGTCTATCACGGTGGGAAAAATAAATGCACGCCCACGTGATGTCAAATGACCAATCGGATTGCATAGATTTTAGAAACCGTCTTATACATCATGATTATGTGATGTAGATACTTAGTTCAGAACTGTTTATTCATATTGTAACAACGTCAAGATAATATTGTCGAAGATAAAGAAATGTTGATATTAATCAACTTTCTTAAAAACAACTATACATATATGGTATTTTGTATAATACTGTGTGTCATTTGTCAGCAAATATGTCTTGTTTTTAGTTTCATTAAGCAGTGCAGTTATTAGGATCAATAGTTTATCCGAAGGTCATGTAGCCTTTAAAGAGGACACGATGCGAACAAGAAGAATGGGGGGGGGGGGGGTAGATCAGAGGACATTTATCTTGAATGCTACGTGTAGCATTCAAGATAAATGTTCTCCAAATGAAAGCCCAATCGATACAAGGATCAAATACAAGAATCACGATCGCAACTTTTACGAGAAAACAAACAAATGTGATTTCAGACCATTGTGGTACATTTTATTGCACACTTCGAAATCATGTTCGAATTGAGTAACGTTCGCATATTTCAAAAGGTGACGCATAAGGATACCGACATTATCTTCAGTTGAGTTTCTTAAAAATAGTTGAAATCGTGTTAGAAATGAACCATTAACATCATTGAACTTGTCCAGCAGCGAGGCGCGTCTGAAGCTAAGACTGACATTTATTTTATATATTTATATTTAGGCTGTTTAGGCCTTATAAAGACACCGTTCAAAGCTAAGACATATTTCTCTATCTCTCTCTCTCACTCTCTCAAATACCCACGCGCACCTTAACACACACGCACACGCACACATGCACATCAAGCTTGATTTTTCCTCGACTCCGGAAACTACCGAAATACATAGTACAACACATAGTTCAATGTTTTGGGAAGTAAAAAGAATCCAGGAACTACCACATCCGATGATAATTCGATTATTCGAGTAATCGATTCAGAGCAATTGTGAGGGAATGCAATGTAATTTAGTTCAAGTTTAGCATGCGCGGCACAAAAAATGAATTCACATCACACGCTCAACAGATTCCAATGGGGTAAGACATTTTTCTCTTCCCGCCTACCCACCCTTTCTACACTCCTCATATAATAGGATAGGAGAAAAGAAGAAGAGAAGGGCCAAACGAAAGGAGGATAATGCACACAGCAGAGCCCTGGGACCCAGGGGCATCAGTCATGTAGAAATATTGTAATAATGCGTTACCAAAGGTTTTCCAGACAAACTACTAAACGAGGATTTATTCTGAAGCCAACACCCCCCCCCCCCCCCCATACTCGGTGTTATTTAGGGTACGCATATGCATGTTCCCTCCTTTTGAAAACGCTACTGCGGGCCGGATTGTTGTGTACTACGAGCCGGACTTTGGTGCGTGAAAAGAATCCCTTTACCGGACATTTTGATAACACGCATGGTATCTCTCCCTTCACCGAGTGGGGGGGGGGGGGGGGGGGGTGGGGGGAGGTGGGGGGAAGGGGAGGGGAGGGGGGAGGGGGAGGGGGGGGCTAAAATACACCATAAATGAGGATTTCGTGTGTTTTTCCCCGAATTCACACCCATATCGGGTATTTCACAAAAGTGTACTCCTAAACTACTATTCTAAAATTTTGAGCCCTAGAGCATTTTAAAGTGCGATAGGGATTAACATTTTAGTTGTTGGCAATGTAAAATAAATCAAATTGCGCTTATTCACAAATTTACAAATTCACAAAGTAAACATTTATTTCAATAGAGAAGCAATAACATCAACCTGTACACTTCAAACATAATGCACAGCCATCATAAGTCCTTTCTTTGAAAAAAATATTTACATTTCGAATTTGATCTATTTTATAAAGAGTACATGGAGTGTTTACAAAATAAGTACAAGGAACGTGTACTATTCTACTATGCAAAACAAAACATTAATCTATAATACCGGAGGAACTCATAATACAAATTTACCGTATTATTTGTCAACGCGTTTAGGGTATATTAACCCCTGGGCGATCGACCCAGGCCTATTAACAGCCGGACAATCCCCCCGGAAGTTACCACCTAGGATAATTACCCCCTCGGAAATATACTCCCCTTGGACACTTACCCCCCGAAAAAATGTCTTTTTTATGTCTTCTAGTGATATGTCCTATAGAGAGAATAGACCCTCCTGCGTCGTAGTTTTCGAAAAAATGATTTCGTAATTTTGTGTTCTTGAACGAACGAAAAAGTTGCCCGGCACTGCACCACAGAGACATTACCGATTCAGCCAATATGAAGAGCCCATACATACAGTGATATAGCGAGAGATACATCAGTATGTTACTACATTTTCGAGGACACACATCTTAGTAGGAATATATCACGCCTAGAACGATCTGAAAATGTACTGTACTACCATGGACCTACTGTCCAGTGAAGTATTTATCGGTACCAGTGATACAAGGGTTATCATCGAGCTAATAATACCCAAAATATGTTATTTTACAGGACCATTGTGTTGCACAAAGCTGTTCTTTCCTTCATTGGTGCCTATTATTTTGTGCAAAGTTGCAATGGTGGCAAACGAGCTACTGACAGAGAGGTGAAGAAAGACAGTGTAGTCTTAAAGATTAACTTGAGTTCTGGTAAACAAAAAAAGAAAAAATAATTCTCACAGAATCAAACGAAACTTACACTGAATGTTCAATATTACAAATAAATGTAATTTGCCGAACAATTTTGGTAGAAAATGTATACTGGCTGAGTAATGAGCATAGAAAGATAAGGAAATCATGGTTAGTAGCCCCGAGACCATGTGTGTTGTCCCATAAACATCTTTCTGTTTACAGTGCTTGTTACTTTACCTAGACTGGGTCAAATTTATTATGATTTTGATGACTCCAGAACCGTGCAATACACATCAATACTTACAAGCTACATGATAACATTTTCTGATCCATTCCATACATTTTCTCTTAAAATGCAATTGCATGACCAGAACTCAACTTTATATGTAACTGTCTATCATGCATTTTTACATTCACGCACAAGAGTGACCGACTAGTTTTAAAGAAATTATACTAAATCTCTAAGACAATTGTGCTTGTGGGTAATAGGCCTTCAATTAAATACTGAATAATATATAGTCTTACATAATACCAAAACTAAATAGTTTTTATTATCTATACACGTCTCAAAAATCTAAAAAGAGAGCTTTGAATTATCAATGACGAACGTTTCACTACCTCAAGAGAAAAACAGATTAAAAAATATATATTTCCTGTGCAATAGTAGTGAATAATTCAAAAGCGGTATCTGTGCATTGTGAATATTTGTTAATTTGAAAAATTAAGACATAAATCTACCCTTTCATCCCTTTATTTGCAAGCCAGTAATAATATAAAAATGACATAACTGATTTACTCTTTCTATAAGATTTTGAAAGTAGCAAGTTTTGTTATAAATTCTTGTAATAATTGAAATAGATTATCTCCGTATTATGGACATTAGTAAGGAAGTATGATCATCATGATGAATATTGCCAACTATGTTAATTGCATAACATGGTCATTATTGTTGATCCAGGATGTATCACTGTCGGCACCATAACTCTCTGCCTCGCTTGATTTGCTTCTATATTTCTTCGTAAGTGTCTTCCAGATCTGATTTGTTGATATCTGGATAGGGTACGGTAATGGTGGGTTTCTTCAGACCTTGATAGGTATGGGGGTCGGTAAGATTCTGGTAGTATGGTGTATCAGTATTTTGGTCTTCGTAAGTATTGGGGTCTTGGTTGGAGTCATCAAATGCACGATTCTCATGCTTTGATGATGTCTCACGTGCATTGTTTGGTGGCGACGGTTCGGCCTTTGAACGTCTTTGTTTCTTCCTGGAAGTGAAATTCAATTAGAAAAAACACATTTATTTCCTTCTTCTTGGTAAAACATTGCGATGACACACACACACACACACACACGCACATACACTAAAAGTTGAAATACAATTGAAGGAGGAAAGGTCCCTTATAATCATAACAGCTGCATACGGGTGATTGTGGATGTACCTTATAATACACACCTTAAACAACATTATAAACAAACTGTCTGCATCCACGTAAACATATAAAAACAAATCCTGTAAAGTCTTATTATTACCAAAATATGATTAAGAATCAGATTTTACTTTCATTTAACATTCATTTTCCTCAGGTTTCGATTTGAATATCAGATTATTAATGCAACAATTGATCAAGATTTTCCTTGTCGATCCAGCAAAGATTAAGTTTTGTGTGCAAATATTTCCTTACTAACCCTAAGTAGTGTACTGTACGTAATTAAAACACACATCATTTTAAAGGAAAACCACAGAGGGTGATATTAAATCTTTGATTTCATTTACGTTGCAAATATATTGATTCTTTCTGTAGTGTTGTTGTTTTAATCATCTTTTTGCAACTTATGCACAAAATGGATGGAACTTTGTTATTGTTTTAAGTGTTTGTTAATTTGGTGTCTATTTACAGTGCATTTTAACTTACTTAATGCATGACCCTTAAATAACGGTCTCCCTGTCACTTACCTTCTAAAGATGACGAGGGCGAGAACAATGACCAGGATGATGATAATGAGGGCAGCCATGGAACCCCCTACTATCAGTCTAACTGATGCACTGGAAGGGCCACCTAAAGTGTTGCAATAAATGAAATATGCCTCACACACTGTACCAATCAAATACAGGAATCCAGTGGCTCTCGTATTAAAATCTATGGAGACTGTGGAATTTAGTATTTATTTGTATTCGTTTATTTATTCCCTTGTGTGTATTTATACAAGCGTTGTGCAATCAGGAACATTGGCCACTTTAAGATTTTTGCAATATTGACAGCTGGTCACAGCAGCAGTTCCTATGAGTAAAGATTGAATCGCTGCTGTTAAGAAGTTCGAAAGCATGAATAGAAGAAACAATGAGCTCTAAAAGTATGTGATAGAACCTTGCCATGGGTTGTGTGCTGTCCATAGATTTTTTCCCCCCGGGATTTGTGGGATCTCAATGACAACAAATTAATTACAATTGACATTCTGTATCAAAACTATTATTTATCTGGCTTTGTTCATTGCTGGAAGGTTAAAAAGAAGTACATGAAGCGTTGTTGCTAAAGGGTGTTCTGGTCTTTTTGATAAAACGATGTAATGTAAATTAAACGGTAAAGGGTTCAAGTCTATTTTACCATACATGCAACAGCGTTTTTCAATTTAACCTACAAATGCTTGTTTTGTTGCTTTTGTTAGTATAACTTATATTCTAATGGAATGCAGTACCTGACGCCGACAGGTGTTGGTTTCTGTGTAAGGAAGTAAAACATAACAATTCGTATATAGTTCGACAAAGTGTTTGCAGACATACTTTGGAATATTGTGGCACCAATGGAACAGGAGGGACTAAAGAATGACAAATTACGTTTACATTGAGATACACAATTCATTTAAGTACTAGATGTTAAGATAGAAATTTGTGATACACTTCTTAAAACATTGCCAACGCGAAACATAATTATGGTCCCTGTATCAAATATGGGAATGAGTAGAGTTTAGTAGTCAAAGTTTTAATTATCATGGCAAATGTCTTATGTTAGAACATAGTATTGATTAGCCTTATAATGCTCTTACCTGATTGTATAGTCTTAGCATTCACAGGTTCTGACCAATTACTAAAACCAGCTCCATTAACAGTCCGTACCTATAAAATAAAACATGGATATCATTACGAAAATAGTTATATACCGTTTATCTTCTTTCTTAACAATGAACGATATTGGTTATTGTCCTTTTAGCAGCCGAGTCAGGGCGAATCTCAGGTTTTTTATAAAAAATACTTGCTCTTTTATGCTTTTTCCACAATCGAACCATAATAACTAAAAGCATATCTATAGCTGTGCTTTTAGAGGCCAAGTGAGGTCAATTCTCAGACCCCTTCCCCCCCCCCAAAAAAAAAAAAAAAATAATAATAATAATAATAATAATAATAAATACAAAAATACAAAATACAAAATACAAAATACAAAATCAGCTGTCAACGTTTGGTTCAGGCTTCGCATCTCAAGTGCGGATTCTCAAAAGGGATATTTGACAAAACATGCTTATCAATGTGTGTCTAATTTAGAGGGCAATTTACCAGTCTGAATTTAGTGTTCGTGTCCTCTGAGTGCATTCATTGTTAAGTCCATTCAAATATATTGGATCTTTGCATTGTACGCCCAAATACAGTTACCCCCAGTCAATAATGAATTTTTGACACCTATTTATATATGCATTATGATTTATTAAAGTCAGCATTTTCCCTCTTACGAGGGATTACTGACTTTCACGCCCTCCCTTCGCTTCTTCTTGTCTCAACCATCCTCCTCATTTAAACCAACCTCACTGGGTTTTCTACTTTACCATATCTTTTTATCAAATCTTGATCTTCCTTTTCCTCTTATGCCACCCACCCCCAGATCCCACGCTCTTTTCACATGTTCATCATCTTCACTTCTCAAGCAAGACACATCCATGTCAATCCACTCCTCTTTACCAGTTCCCAACAGTTTCTTCCATGCCCAACCTTTTTATGCGGTATATAAATACATACAAGTACATGGCATGTATTACCTGAACTGAGTAGATGGTTTCTGCTATCAGGTCTATAACAGTATACTCTCCTTCAAACGCACCATTCAATACTTCCTCCATCTTATAGCCACCATCAGTTCGCTTGTAGCGGATGATATACTTCTGGATGTTACCATTAATGTTAGATGGTATAGGAGTAGACCAGGATACAGTGAAGGAGCTTATAGTACTTTGTGATATAGCCAAGTTGATCGGACTAGGTGCAACTGTTAAGTGAAAGCAGATAATAAGAGTTTTTATTAACAAACATTTACCAACCTTGTATTATACCATGTACATGATTGTACATATAAATCGTCTCGGACAGGTCTCAAGATGTCATAGGAAAGGGTCTACACAATATGTATTCAATTCAAACTGTATTCAAATAAATAATATTAATTTTATCTCATTTCCAGCGTAACAATAATTGCACCAAAAGAGTGAAAGAAAAAAATGTACTCCGTATTTGGCAGGCAAACTATCACTTTCTTCATATCGTTTTGCGGATAGTCTTACTCCTCCTATCATTCTCCTCATGTGAAATGTGTTTAACTCAAACAATATCAAAGTAAATAACAGCGATTTGCATATCTTTTGTATATATGTCAGAATTATAATAATAATTTTTCTTACAACAATCCAAGAAAACTAGCTGATGAGGTCTCACCTTCTTCAATTGTTTTGCCGATAGTCTCCCTGCTCATATCACTCTCTTCGTCTTTATTTGATGCAGTTATTTGAATGGTATAGTCCAGATATATATCTAACCCTCTTATCGTGTAGGAGCTTGTGTCATTAGGAACCATGAGAGAGTTCAACAAAGTTGAACCAGAGGCAGCGTAGTAGATCAGATAATGAGTCACTCCACTCCTGCATTCTGCTGATTCCGAGGGGATGTGCTTAAACATAAAGGTGCAAACACATGTTACATGCAACACATTTACATTAAAGAACTAGTAAACGAAACTAAAATATGTTATCAAAGTTTAAATACAGTTTCTCGCATTAATAAGGATGCTGCAATCAACGTGATGGAGCTTTCTGCTGAACCAGAAAATCTTGATCACAAAACATCTTTATATTAGATTTCTACTGTGAAATTAAATTAAAATTGTATTTGATGAGCCCCAGAGCACACACTTTCATCTTGCGAACAGGAAAATTGATACTCATGTTTTCAATTAGGAAACATTTCATTTAATCAAATGTTCAAGTATGTAAAGAATGTCAAAGGTATTTAAGTGAAGTAATGGAATTAAACGTTCATATTTGACATATCTCGATGAAATTTTAGGCAAAATTAAGTCTAATATGGTTAGTACATACAATTGTCTAGCTCCATTGCCTAACGTTGAGGTTGTACCTCTGTGTATTAAATTGTGACTATTACCAGTTATGCATTTGGCAGTTCACTAATTGACCAAAATAGCCATTCTTAAACAGTTCATACCTCCCATGTCACCTCTAGCTCTTTCAGGTTAATGGCTGAAACTTGTAGTCCCGTTGGAGAAGCACTGGGTTCTGAAGTTTAAAATTATATATAAGATATTAAATGGCTTTGATCTATAGTAGATGATGTCATCACAGGTACACACAGGTCATGGCATAATCGTGCAGTACTCTTACATGTACTCTTCGTGTGGTTCTAAATTATAAGTAAAAATAAAAGGAAACTACCATCAGGCAAAACACAATGAGGGGCATTATAACCATTTTGGGGGGACATGCATGTTTTGTAGAAGAAAATGTCTTTGTCACATTTTAGAAAGATAGAAAAGTTTAACGACAAAAAATATGGAATCACAAATACAAACATTTAGATGTGACAGATTTTACTCATAAAAGTAGATATTTTAAAGACCCTTCAATCCAACGCGCAAACATATCCTAACTGTATGTCGACATCGTTTACTTATAATGTTATACGTGTACTTTCTTGTAGACAAGTGTACTTTGAAAAATAACCATCTTCAAATGTTTTATTCTGCACTCTAAAATCATGTCAAATCCTTGGCAGATTAAATTATCTATCTTCTGAGCAAACTTACTTCTACAGCGAGTTATTGCTTTGCTACTAGGAGACACAGGTCCTGTTCCACCGGTTCCTTCCCTCACTGCTGCTATACGGAACATGTAATCTGTGTCGGGTGTCAGGTTACTAACGATGGCTGATGTTGTGAGTTGATCTACTCTCTGTTCCGTTACCCAGTCACCATCCTGATTTACCAAAAAAACATATCCTACAAGAGTAGGATCACCTATGTCATCTTCTTCAGACCATGCATTCCATTGAAAACCTACTGTAGTTGACGTGGTGCTCGCTATCACTGGTGCTTTCTCAATGACTGGCAGAACTGACAAAAAGAAAACAAAAGACAGAAATAGTTACTACAATCTATTGAAATACCCGTTAAAATCAATGACAGACTATAATCGAAGTTCTTCTATCCAGTCAATATGTTTAACATTTATCAAAATACACAAGAAAATTAGCAATTATTACATAACTGATGCAATCTATTGTAACCCGGCCTCTATGCAGACAGCGTGACTGGGGGCGATTTTTCGTTAAAAGCCCGTCTGAACTAGTTTGGCCAGGGGGATTTGACCACCCAGCGACGTCACTGACAGGTGGGTATCTCATCAACTCGGCTTTCAATTAACATAACAAAACGAGGATCATGGGGGACCAACGGGCACCGCTTAGGCTTTGTGTTCTGTTAAGAGGGAGCAAGTAGCTACAAGTAGTACAGTGGGGCTTTAATATATTGAATTAGTGCTTCCTATTTCACACGTATCTCACAGAAGTGCAGTAGAGTAAAGCGATGTCACGCAGTTTACTCACCATAGGTTGCGTTGGTAACGGGCGTACTGGGATAGCCGATGTTTCCAACATATAGAATGCAAACGTATCCACCATATTCCTGTGGATACACGCTATCAACATGAAAGACAACAGCTCGTTCTGACCCTGAGACAGTGCTAGATGTTCTGGTGATTCCTGTCCTGTTATTGGTGCTTCCAGTACGTCTATAAAGATCGACCGAGGATGCATCGGGAGGTGGAATATCCTCAACATAACATGTGAAGCTAGATGGTTGGTATGGGTTCACTCTCTCTGGAACCGATCTTGATATTCCTATCAAGAATTAAACCAGATATCAAATATCAAATTATTCACATCAACACATCAACACAGAGCAAACTCTAACTCAAAACAAAAGGGAGCGCTATAACAATAGAGGAGTTAGGTTAACTTGAAAATGTTGGATGGTTATTAGTTTGACATTGTATATATTTAAAGTAGAATAGAATAAGTTTCGACTTTCGAGGTACTGGTATGTTTCCGACAGTATGCCAGGGATGGGGACACAACGCCTGGCCTTAAATTTCTGCATTATATTTACGGGTGTTTATTTGCAATAGAATGTCCTAGTCATTTTAGACAATAAACTGTTTTTTTAGGGGATTTAGCATTCTTGTGTGGCTGTGGGCACCCCCTACTTTCTCCGGTTCACAGTCTGTACCAATCTAGTCATTGGTTATATTTAATTTAATTTTTAACTCATTTTAAACTCATTTTTTAACAAATTGTTAAGGTCGGTGGCTTAAGGTCATTCGACATATCTTATTTTGTAATTGGTTGTTTTCCGATTGGCTAGTAATATCATGTGTTTTTAATATTGAAGCCTTGTCGAGCGCATGAAGAGTTAAGCGCAATGTGCATGAGTTCGTTTTGGCCAGTTTAGTTTGTTCCGTTTTCGAGTTAAGATGTGCTGATAAATTCTTGTGGGTATAATTACTTTGACAGTACGGTCCAATCCAGCCTTCATGGCATTGTCGCTTGCAAAGACCCCTCTCCGTCTCGCAAGCCTCTGGAGCACAGTGACATTGCTGAAGACAATCCAAACCAAAGGTACCGACTTCACACTCTGAAATATAATAAAACAAAAGCGTGAGGTCACATATTAGAAACAAATGGTAGAAGCATAGTACTTTAACCAGTTGAAAGCAAAGCCCTGAGTAATTTGTCCTAGGGTGTAATGAAAGCGTGTTACACTAACATCAAACATGTTTCCATCAAATGATGTCAAATAATTATATTTTCATCTTGATTCCTCCTAATTCAAAATATAGTTTTTTACATAAATTGTTCACTGCTGACATGACCACTTACATCAACAATCATATAAAATCTTATTGTGCTCTCTCGAATTCGCATTCAACATATTTGTCATGTCTTCAATTATTGTTAAAGCCCCACAAGTAAAGCGGTTTGTAGCCTATTAAATATGGCTTGCTTTGAACAACAATGTGATTAATATTTGAGAAAAAATGATGGACGTAGATATATTTAGCATTTTGTCAACAGCAAATCAAGATTCTAGGTCCCTGATTGGGAGAACTGCAAACATAAAATTTACTACTGACTGCTGTGCAGAAAAGCAAATATATTATGTATATACATATACATATATATATATATATATACGCATGAAGTTAGCAATGGATACAAGTAGTTAGCACACACCCTTATTTCAGAATGTTAAACTTTACCTCCATAGATGCTTTGTCAAGATATCTTTTGGGTAAATCCACACAATGCATACGATATATTAAACAAATATTTACTGCTGATTTGTTTTAACTCACGATTTAAACTATACTACATGTACATGTAGCTCTTCCGTGTTCTCTAGACTGCACTATGCCCTTCAATTTTGTCTCGGGGCACAGTACAGATTCAAGATGACTTTGGGCGTATAGTAACCATGCCTTTTGAAGAAGTCAATATTTGTCTACCAGAATCCCCCTCTACAGTGAACATTATAATAATGTTTTTACGATCCCAGCACTATGAACATATATGTGGTTGATATGACCATTACACATACAAGTATTTATTAGCGTCATACATGTGTACTAACAAACAAAATACCGTGTGTGTCGAGCACGCTATACAATTAATGTATGGACATGTTGTATGTATTCTGGAGATAAATAAACAGGAATAGATATGGAAAATTCAACACCCTTTAATAAATAATGGCATTTCACCTTGACATTTGACCTGGCCACTGCGTACTTTGTATCCTAGAGCACACTTCTGTTCAGGGCACCGTCCAGTATCTTTACCACATGGTTCATCATTCAAGCAATGACATTTATCAGAGCATTGAGATCCGTAGTAACCGTCTTCACATTCATCTGGAACTGGTGATGATAAGAACATATTTTAGGAATCACAATTAGCAAGTACTACAAGCAAATATGTTAGCTCATTAAAACTAGATTGTTGCCTCATGAATATGTATCTAAATTATTTGCACTATCGATTTCAATTATTACACATACTCTAAACATTTAACAGTGCATTCACTAAATATATTTGTGTATTTTAAAAAAGAAATCATCTCCTCTTTTACAAAACCTGATATGGACCTTGTGGCAGATAGAGCCTGGTGCTAAACAAGATATCCCAAAATGTCGTCCGGTCGTCTGCTACTACTACTACTACTACTACTACTTCTTCTACTATTACTACTACTACTACTACTACTACTACTACTACTTCTACTACTACTACTACTACTACTACTACTACTACTACTACTACTCATACTACTACTACTAATAATAGTGATAATAATAGTAATGATAATAATAGTAATGAAAATGGAATATATGGGATGAGTTGTTCCAAAACACAGCTTAAGAGTGGGTTTGTTTACAAAAATAAAAAATATAACAACTTCAAATTTACCCATTGACTACTGAATTATCTTATTCCACACAGGTATAATACAGGAGCCATCGAGTTATGTAGGCAATGGGGTTAACAAATAACAAAATTAAAAATTAAACAATATTATATAGCTGCAGTGTTCATGTTCAATTCTGATATATCTTATTTGGGGATAGCATTTATGGCATAGTATATTGTTATCATTGCTAACCATGACTTACTTTGACAGTTGTCCCCAGACCAGCCAGTCTGACATCCACCTGTACATATTCCACTATAGATGTCACATGATGTACCTACGGCACAGTTACATATCTGTGAACATCCTGGACCATATGTATTATTAGTACATACTGTAATAGAATTCGAAATACAAAACAGATTAACAGATTCAATACAATCATCAGAAAGAAGTACAAGATACATGATATTTTATTTGGTCTTTGCAAACAAGTTACATATAAATAATGTGCATGTAACAATAACTTCTTCTTCTCCTTCTTGTTTTTCTTTTCCTTCTCTTTCTCCTTCTCATCCACATCCTTCTTCTTCTACTCCTTCTCCTTCTCTTCACCTCTGAGTCGCGCCTGACCTCACTCATGAATCCGGCCACATTATGGTATGTGCTTTTGATATTCAAAGAAAAATACAATTTATATATATATTTTTTTACTATTAGAATTTGAGCAACATTAAATGACTATCGGAATACTTACATGTGTTACAAGCAAGACCATGAGCACCGACGTCACATGAACATCCATAAGGATCAGGAAGGCAAAACAGATACCCATGACATCGTGTGGCAGCATTATTCTTATATGAACATCGAAACTCGCAGTTCAATCCAAAGCGATTTCCACCGCTAGTTCTACAAACTGAAAATAAATAGTTGTATTGTTGAATTAAAACCTTATTGTCTTTCATAATAAATGAGATTTCATGAGATAAATTTCAAATAAGGTTTTTTTCCTCTAATCTCCTTTATAAATTACTGATGAATGACCCGCATATCTGGTAGACAGGGTCACTTTACACAGTATTTACAAAATCATTTTACGTTATATAACAGACCGTGTATAATACATAACACATTATAACAAATCACAAATCTACTTGATATATACAGAATCATAAATTAAAAATCAGCATTATTCTTACAAACAATTCCTAGTAAAATAAAAGATGTACAGTACATAATATACAAATGGTGAAATACATGATATAATAGTTACGAGGTTTAGTTTAAGGGTGTTTGTGTGGATTTGTGAAAAACCGAGACAGGAGGCGTTCCATGGATTTATCAGGTGGTGTCGTAGGCCATTAGCTACAAAATTATGCAAACAAATCAAAATGTCAAAAATTGAGATACGAGGTTTTGTCACCCCACCGACGAATATGGTACTATTCTGATTTCTGTATCTCCTCGTCAGGTATAAGAAAGACATGTTAGGAATGAACATGTAAAATAGATGTACATTACTCTGTTCATTTTCAAGTGAATAAGACAATAAATATTTTCCTCAATTCCTCTATTAAGAGATGAAAATAAATATCATTCCACATGAAGTTCTACAGACCTACTTACTTTCTAAACAGTTCGGGCCCTTGAAGTTGTTAGGACAGATACATAGACCAGACTTGTCATCACAAACTCCACCATTGTAGCATGTATCACAGATACCATAACACTCAGGGGGACCCCACTTACTAGCAGGGCATTCTAATATGAGATAGGGAGAGAGAGAAAAAAGTAAAATACATGTCACTAAAGATTACATTATAACAAAGATGAGGATAGATATAAAATAAGCAGCTTAATATAACATGGGAGTAGACAATTGAAAAGTTAGATGCTGCTTGTAAGTATTGGCGTGCATGGTGATGCAGATATACAGTAGGTTTGCGGGTGCACCATATAAGAGAGAGGGAGGATTGAGAAGTCATGAAAAGGACTCTCGGTAATCTTTCTTGAGGATGTGTAATCCTGAAAAGGGACTGTTTGTGTAGTCTTGAAAAAGACTGTTGGTTATCTTTCTTAGATTATAGTTCTAAGGAGAACTATAGCGCTTGGAGAGGAAGTGTGGCGGGAGTGGCTCGACCTTTCGAACAGGTTGACTATTGGTCGTCAGGAGTTTGTTACACAATAATGTTCTCGAACGTAACAAAATAAAGTGTATGTCATTGCCTCTGTGAAATTCTAAATATACATACGGGTAATTCTGAAATACCCATATTTTCAATTCACATCACAGATCATGACTAGCTTACATATTTTATCATTTGAAGTTTCATAAATCTTCTGAAAAAAAAATTTGCAAGGGAAAAAGCGGTCCATCTTACGGTAATATTCCGTTCCAAAAGATCAGACGTTGTCATTATCTACAAGAAAACTCTGAACTAACATTTTCCAAAAATTGATCACAATCTTGTTTTCATCAATGATGAAATATAAGTGAATACGTAAAGATCACCTTCAACATTAGACCTGCACAACCCAATTAATTTAAACTAAAGATTGTTTGGGCAAAATATGAAGCAATACCTTTTGCATGCATCGTAACAAACAATAATAAATTGGATAAGAAATGACCCCTCTCAAAAAGCCGAATCTGATATAAGCAGGAATAGACTTAACATGTACCTCTGACGATGAGTCTGTATAGTCCTCCTCTACTTTGATTCCTCTCGTTATCACAGTAGATCTCGTAGATTCCTTGATCTGATGTCTGGATTGGGTTTGGGAAGCTGATCTCAGTCTGCCCATTAAATGATGTAAGAACCTTACTTCCATCTTTCATCCAAGTAGTCACGTTGTCACTCGCATCAGGACCATAATGACTAGTCATGCTGATCATCACCCCGGTGTCATTCACATTGACTGTCTTTGTAAACAATGCATCACTTGGTATGAATTTAGCTGTTATAAGAGATAATAATGAGTTAACCAAAAAGACTTTAACTTTAATACATTACATGTGGCACCTACAGGTCGAACGCACTGTAGTCATTTACTCACTGAAGGAAACTGTATGATTTTTATAAAATTTTGTATTCATTGCAATGACCGAATCTCGTCATTGCCTTGTCTTCGTTCACATTCTGCCCCATTTATATTCTTCTCCGTGTTTTCCTCCTCCTTTTCGCCAGAAAATCGCATTCGTTTCGCACGTAGTGCTTTTAGTGTGGAAGCGTCATAGGCGATGCCATTTTATTGAATCCTCTCGTTCCTGATCCACAAGAAACTGTCTTGCGGTATAAAATCTCTGATGTACACAAAATGTTTCCACAGTGGATTACAAATGAACTATATCAGAAGATTCCACACATAACATGTCATCGCCAAATAAACTTTTCTTCTGCTGTGCGTCAAAGTGTAATGAGTATTACAAAGGGACGGTCCCGGACCGTTCAGGGACTAAAGCCTACATTGGTAGAAATAGATAACAAGCATCATTGCTGCAAAGCTAAACTGCGATGATTTTACCAAGGTCAAAATGCGTACACAAATAGTAATCAGCACTGGCGAAAATAACAAATAATATAGTCCTTATTCTACACCGCAATATTAATAGATCTGTTATAGAAATCGGAATTGTGATTGATTTTAATATTTCAGTCGTATTTGCAAAGCTTTAAGCATATATAATGATACAACATGTAGTTAAAAAAGTGTTTAAAATATTAATTGCTAACACTCATTGGCTATTCAGAGTTATTCAGGTATTGTACGTGTACATATTTTTAAATATATTTAGGATATATTATGAAACAATGAAAATAGAGTCTTTAATTTTGATAATTCACTTTTATAAACAAATTTGTCCGATCAATTTGTGCATAAGTAAATAGAAAATCAGAAAATTATCAATTACAATATTTTGTTCTTCTGAAGTGACATCATCATGACCTCACACGGGATATACTCAGAACCTCACTTAAATTTACAGTAAGCTTCTATAGTATGCATTTACGAACAAATCTTTAACATAATATGGATATCCATTCCTGTTTTAATAGAGAGTGAAAATTATTATTTTACCATCAGATCGTCGGAAAAATGTAGTGACCCGTGTAATATCTCGTTCATGTTTAGAAGCCTCACAGTAGAAAGGCCCGAAACCATCTCTATCCCATCCATCTTCTGTGGGGAATTTGATCACTCTGACCAATGGCTTTCCACGTGAGTGTTGCTCATCTTTTGGTGGAGATCTGTCTGTTGTTATGGGTGCTGATCGACCAAATGATAGTGAAGCGTCTCTATCTGGTTCACTGGCGTAACATTGATACTGCGGATTGCTAGATTCACCTATATTGGTGTATCCCACGGTCAGCACTGTGATATGAACAACCTCACCTGGAATACCGAGAGAGAATTTAATTTGTTTACAGTATAAATCTATACTCATTTTTCTTTATCCCATGCATTTTGAACTTCGAACCATCTAGTAGGTTTTAAGTACTATATGACAACATGGCACTTAAACAGTCACACAAGTGTATTATAATTCAAATCTAAATCAACTGATGGCCTTTTGAGAAACAAGGACGGTGAGGGTAAGCTCCTTTCGGAAAAATAATGTTTCAATTAAGAATGGGAAATTTGATATAGAACATATTGTATATTGGATAACGCATGCACAGATCCCCTACGCGAGGTGCTCAATGCGGTCATATGTATACCCCGGTTAGGCTACCGATTTCGGCGCTCACAGTATTCAAGGAATTATATTCTACCGGTAAAACACCAGGGTATGAGTGGCACATATCATTTAATTTCTCGCCAAAGGGGCTCGATCCCACGACATTCGACTATCCAGTCATGTGTTTGACCCACTCAACAATGACTTCATACGCTTACTCGAATGTAATTGTCTAATCATGGTTCTTTACTAGAAACAGAAGTACACATAATTGTAACCGTGATTACATGCTATATAATCATCTTTTCTCATCCACTCCACACATTTTCTTTAACGATGCAATCGCATTACCAGAACTCACCTTTATCTTCAAGCTGCCAAATACTTGCTCATTTATACACATAGAAATATCATGTGTATACTTGTTTACTTGTAAAAAAAAATTGGCGTATTACGCAGAGTGTGTTCTTTGTCTTTTATTTTGACGCTTCACTGCCTGATTAACATTCGCATTTCGGGAGGTATTTGGCATTTCAGTCATCCTTCTTGTTTGGTACAACAAATTAAGCAGCATATATATGGGTCAATTTCTGGCACCGGTATTGGTATTCCATGGGCAAATTATGGGCCAACAGAACATGCACAATGAGCTAGAAGTTCATAGATATGTGTGTATCAACAAGTTTCGAAAATCACAATATAATTTCCACATTCACAGTGCTTTTATTTGGTCAACATCGTTAACATATGAACTATATTAAATATTTACATTTCATTCTTCCAAAAATATTATACAAATAATGAATGGTTATGAATTCAATAGTGCGAATATTTTCATGAGTTGAAAGATTAACATTCTATTCAACGAGGCGTCAGCCGAGTTGAATAGAATTAACGTTAATCTTTCAACGAATGGAAATATTCGCACTATTAAACGAATAAAAAACATTCATTATTTGTTTTATACAACATCAAAGAAGACTTAATAGAACGTTAATCAAATTAAAGTTGGAGTCAAGCCTTCTCGATTACATTCAGATTGCCTTCGCGTCAGATACACGCAGGGATACGCGCGCGGCAGAGAGTATGCAGTCTGCATATAACCAAAAATACACGGTCGTGCAATATAACATCTATTGAATATCATGTGACCAACAATCCTCCAATCAAATGACAAGGATCCACGTAGGTGTTGTATAAAACATATTAATTAATATGAAAGGTGAGCCGAAACATATACGAAGAAGTATCAAATTATGCCTCATGACCAATCAGAAAGTTTATAGGATCATTTGTATAAAATTTCTCGATTTTGTCAGACATCATTCAACTTTTCACCAGTCTATTATTCTGTTTTGTTTTGGTTTCCTCTAGAGTGTTTTGCGTTCAAGGTTGTCATTCAAGCCTTGTTCAAAGAAAGAAGAAAAATGGGAGGACCAAGCTTGAAGATATGGTTTAAGTCTCGCTTTATTCTCATCATCTTTTATTTCCTCGTAATGTACATAGCGACTTTCGAAACTCCTTCACTGTAATGGGAATCTGGTCATTTTAGCCCTGATTTTCACTCGCTGCTTTTTTTTGTTGTTGTTTGGTATCATTTCAATTGCTTCATTGTTCCCTACTGCTATTACATTCAAGCGTTTATTAATTACGACTGAAAGTGATTCCCCCCTTTTACTTTGCTGAATGCGAATAACTCAAGTATGCAGTTGTATGAAAACCAATTACTTTATAATGCTTTAAATAGTCAACATAATAAAATCTGTTTCTATCCTCGCTGTTATCATTATTATCAAGACATGCAATTTTGCCCTTTGTCAAACGAATACATTGATTAGGTTTCGAGTTGTGTTCATAAAGCACATTTACTAAGACAGAGAATCGTGATTTGCTTTAACATAATAGTGAATATGAACGATAGATAAAAGTAATAAAATGAGAAATGACGTTTTAGGACTAAAAGCATGTAAAATATTTTTATTAGGGGTTTATGCGAAGTCAAGATTACGGTGACATTTTGCTAAAATGCATTTAAAAAATGATGAATCAAACAAAGAAAACAAAGA